AGTCAGCCCAACCAACCAAGCGAACCCAACTTCCACCCAAACCAACCGAACCGAACCACAACCAACTGACCAACCCGTCGCTGCCTTCTTCCCGCCCGCCAAAGCTGATCGCCGGCGCTGCAGCGGGAGGACTTGGACTCACTGCCCCATAGGGCGAAGGTCGGTTGGCCTGGTGGCGAATTGAGGACACTTTGTTAAACATGGATTGCTTGTCTGCGGCCTAGGAGATGGGAAAAAATGTTATTGTTTAGGGCGTGGGAATATATGATTGTTAATCGTTCTAACTACGTACTATCCGTTTTTGGTGGCCACATGTAGCCTGTCAAAACCGAAAAGGGAGATCCATTGCATCGGTTGGAAGAATTGCTTGGCTGGAAGTCTCAAAGCAGACTACTCACAGCTCTCAACGTTTTGACATAAATCCATTCCGACATATTCTGACCATGACCTACCTACCCCAGTTCAAGCACCTCGGCTTTCGCCAGTGCAAGCGCTTGCACAGCCGCCTCGTTGGGGCTAGAGCCATTCTGCACCACCCTCCGTTGGCGGCTGCAGTTATCTCGTATTCCGACACGAGTTGAACTTGCGCGGCGGAAGCATATCAACAGTTGAGTTGGTGTATAGTCTTCAAACTTGTGGGATCTTCAAGCGGCCCAGTTTTTTGCCGGATGATGCCGGATGCACGTTTCATTGAAAACCGCCGTGATCAACACAATTGCTCCACCTCGATCATCCCCACCCCGAGAGGCGATTTGGAATAAGGCAGGGCACATGTACTGACAGAACTATTGACAGACTATCCTGAAAAACGCGGCCTGACAGGCGCATTGACACAATAATGTTCTGACACTTGTTCTGGCTTCAAGTCTGGTGTGTGCATGTGTCCTGACACATCATCTATCATAAAGACTGGGAAATGTTCTGGACCGTGTTCTGACGTCCTAGTTGGCATGTGCTCTGACATTTGTCCTGCCGTGAAGTCTGACATGTGCTGTGGCCTACGGACTGACTTTGGTTCTGATATGTGTTCTGCCATGTATTCTTACATTTGTCCTGCCATCAAACCATTTGGTCCGACATATGCTCAAACATAGCTTCTCTCACATATGATTTGGCAGTCCATATGGCAAATTTACCGACATTCTAGCTGGGAAAGGTACTGGCCGGCTTGATGCCCTATGGAGCTCAATGTCCTTGTAAGCGCTTACTGGCATTATTGGGTCCTTGTAAATAGCCTGGCACCGCACAAGAACCAGGAGCATGTCATGACCCGTGCCATACTCCAGGCAGGTCCAGGGTGCCAGATGGCTGCATGTTCGGGCCATAACAAGCCCTCCGTCACCGAAGCGATGGCCGCCAACGCGGTGTCAAAGAGCGCCGTGCGATGGTCGAGCATTTCGTGTTTCCCTTCAAACGGCGTAGACAAATGACACCTGGAAACAGCAGCTAGAAGGCGGCGATACTGATCCGCTCTGGCATGGGTGGATCGGTTCAATGAAGCCTGACGCTCTCTGTGGTGTGCAGGTCCGTGCGTGCCCAGACTGAGCTGGCGCTCTATGCTGAGTACAGAGGACGGAGGCCGGAGTAACACCTCCATTGTCAAAATCTAAAGACCCTCGCCTGGCAGGTGGGGAAGAATAGGTATTTATTATATATTTATATATATATGATATGTCATATATAATATATGATATAATATGTATTATATCATATATATATATTATATTAGAATATGTTATAGATGTGCTACCCGGAACCTAGGTCTCAAATGTCTGTATGCAGATGGTTGGGCAAATAACTAGAGATTTGTGCCAGGTGGTTTACAAATGATTTCCAGATAATTACAGATTTGTTATGATTTGTTCAAGACGGCTTACAGTGGGATTAAACAAACATAGTGTGGCATAAACCATTTGTATAAGCAGGGAAGCAAACTACATACCAAAACCAAGGACTAACTATCAATAGAGCTAGCCAAGAGTTGCACAAAAACTATGCAACAAAATGAGAAACATTGCTAGAATCTATTGTGCTAGCTAGACAAGGGTAGAAACCAAACATGTTTTTTGTGTTTGGTCAGACTCTTTTATACTTGATTGATTCGCGGGGTCCTTCAAGAACATGTTCGCACAAAAAATGATGAACCTATAAACATGAACAACAAAAACTGTTTGAGCAAGAGGCAAGCCACTGAAAGAAATTGGTTAAAGGAGGTTATTGCCCATGAAAAACACGTTTAGTGAAGGCTCGTACAGGGTGAAACCCTTGTGACAGGAAGAACACATCAAAGATGGCATGTTAACAAGAAAACTATACGTGTTTGATCGTTCTTGCATGGAACATATTCTTGTCAGGACTGAGACTGTTGAAGTTGGTCAAACAAGTATGAGGAAAGGGCTCTTATAGAGGAAATCCATGTGTCATGATTTGTTAAGAGAGTGCCAATCTCAATGAACAAACTCGGGCAAGGAAAGGTATAAGTGTACCCAAATCTCTTTTCAACGAATAGAAACTCGTATAAAGGGCATCTTTTCTTGAAGGGGTGTTTTGTCTGAGAAAGGAAAGGACAGTTAGTTGGAATGATAATTAATGCATTGTGTCGATATATTTCGCGTCTTTTGTTTTTCAGTCTTTAATATTTGCAAATACGTGCTTGAAGCTGCAAGAGTGTGTTTGTAAATGCAGGTACTTGGGAGTGTTTGGCAGCCCAAAAATGATTGAATGCGTTTTGAAACAATGGGGGATGCACAAAATAACGTCTAAGTACCGGAATCTTAGATCTTAGGTCGTAAGTACCAGGACCTCAAGCAAGCATGAGTCTTCACAACTCTTCTGAGCTAATGCACTATATACATACCAATCATATGTATACGGTACCCCAAAAACAAATCCAACCCATCAAATAGGTTGCAGTTAGAAAACACCACCAATACCACTGAAAGGTATCAAAGTCTAGGTTCCGCGCCCGGGGTTGGGGTGGGTACCATCATACAATCTATTATGTTGCTTTAAGGGTTGAAAAAGCTCAAAATCCATAGACGGGGAAAGACACAAACACCGCAAGTCTAAGACAGCGTTTGGACACCAAAAGATGCCGTTTCTTCATGCTTCTTCTTGGATTCTCACCTTGCTACAGTTTCTGCCTTGTCACAGCAAACTTTGGCATCTTTGTTGAAAAGGCGTTCGAAGATCCTGGGAAAAATCGTTGCTTGCCACCTTGACCACTCTAGACAAGTGACTCGCGTTTCAAGGACACCCTTAGCTTTTTTGTGACCTCTAAAAACCTAATGTACATTTACGACAGTTTTCACAGTGTTGCACACACCGATACAATTACACCAAGGTCACCTGCTTGTGCTCTATTTACAGTTCACACCAGTTCACCACTGGTACTGCATTGCAGACTCTGCTTCTGGTTCACAATTGTCTGAAGTGGAATGTTCCTAGTGATGTTCTTTCCACTTCGGCTGGTGTTTTCCTCTCTGAGAACGCACAAAAAACACTGCAAACACCACCGCGCCAAGACTTCGCGCGCGCGCTGCAAACCGCCCCCCGGCGCCTGTGAAAGTGCTCCTGCACGCGCTGCTTCAGTTGCTCCATGGCGATCGTCGCATGCGATGCACCGAGGCGTAACGCGCCGCGTGAACTACGTGTCACGGGAAATTCCCGCTGGGGGAAGGGCGGAGAGGACGATGTGACCACTGTGGGGAGCGTTTTGGAGTAAAAAAAGAGGGCGGGGAGGCGAAGAACCTATTCTGAAAAGACTGAGAACGGAGCAACATGGAGCAAAACCTATGGAAAGCCGTGTTTTAAATATTCTCTGTTTAACAAATAGGTCCAATAGGCAATCAATAGGCAAAGCATGGCAAAGCCATGCAGAGGTGATGTTGGGTTCAAGTCCCCACCTTCTAACATTCATCCGGTTCTGTAACTACAACTCCAGCTTTCAAAAACTCAACATGTGGCATGTGTGTCGGGATTAAATCATGTCCAGGAGAAGAAGTCGTTCTTCATGTGCTAAAATTCATTATATTGGATTTGTTTAAGTTCGAAGGATGCACCGAGTTGACCAAACTTCTCGAAAAATGGTCCTGCCATGTGCTGCTTGGATTCGTTTGTTTGTTTGTTTATTGCTGTCTTCCATCGAGGTCTTCTGGAGAGAGACGAGACCTCGCATGTCCAACCGTAAGACCCCCGAGTCTCAAGGACCTACGTGTGTAGGTCGTTAGATCAAAAGGACCTGTGTGCAGTGCCGTATACCGGACCTCAAATGACCAAGGTCATCCACCATTCGTGTCGAAAAAGGCGTTGTGTGTCGCTTCAAACACCCGGCTCGCTGTGATCCAAAAGCAGCGTCGCGCGACACTTGATTCAGAGTGAACGAACTTCAGATCCGCAACAACAGGCACATTGAGCAAAGGATAACAAGAGTATAACAAGAGTATCAATGTTGTCAAACCTTGCAATTCCGCAAAAAAAAGGCCTCTAACTATGAAAATATATGCGAGGATCCATCAGGATCAAGTACTGACGTTTGTTGCTTCTTGGCGTGAAAAGAATCGACGCAATAAGTGAACTCCCAAGACGTAAAGGGAACATGTCCTTCATGTGTTTTTGTTCTTCAGGGTTTCCCTCCCTCCAAGGGGATCTGTTGAGAGGGTCGACTAACCACCTTGCAAACAACTGGAAGAAACCACCTGGTATTCTAGAAGAACATCTAAGAGTCTGAGACGTTCCATGGCACCAACCCAAACCTCTCAAATGTTAGCATCTTCACCCTTCAAGTTGCGCCATTCACTCCAGAAGACCCCAACGAGTCGAGTCAGAACCAGTCGGGCGAGTCGATCAGATGCACCCGCTCACGCTCGTACCGCTCGACCCAGTCACGTGAACAGTCACGTGAAAAGCGCATACCCCCCGTGCACGAAGAAGACCCACCCCACCTTCAACTGCATACCCCCCGCTGCACGCTGAAACCCCGCCGCCCTGCACCGGTACGCCTTCCAGACCGGCCCCTCGTGGCCCTTCAAGTGCCCGATCTGCTGCTGGCGTCCATCGGTGACGTCCCAGATTCGGATGGTGCCGTCGCCTAGCGAACCAGGCCAGGCGCTGTGAGAGGATGTTTCGGGTGAAGCCGAAACGGGCTTCCCGTGATGGGGGAACCAATCGTCCTTTGCATGGGGCATTTCGGGGGATTCATCTGTCTGAAGGGGGGAGCTAAAGCCAGGTGAATGTGCCAAGCTCTAACAACCAATGTTCTAACCCACAAAAACATCACTTTTTTTTCCAGCAAAATGTTGCCTTGTTCAAATAGCAAGGTGGCCGCCGTTTGTTGCGTCGTGAGGCGATCTTGACGAGGATCGATTCCCACATCTGGTCGGCCACCCTGGGATGTCAACAAGAATCCAAAAACAGTCTAAACAACCATGTGGCCCCATTACATGTACAGTCTCTACACATGTACAGACCTGCAACCCTTCATTCCTTGCCACTTGCCACTTGCGCAGCTCCGCCCCAACACTTCATTCGTGCCGGGTGACTGGACGCCGCCGCAGCTCTTTTGGCATAGTAATCCAACTGCACATCATGGATCACACCTGGGTGGAACAAAACAGCAGGCTAGTGCTGAGCCGCACACGGGCGGTGTTTCGGGCGGTGTTGCACACGGGCCTGCTTCTCGCTACCGCTCTACCCGTTAAAAGAATGAGGGTGTCCACTTCACTGTTGCCCTCTACACTGAGTCGACCGCCGGAAGGGGTGTTAGGCAAAGATAGAAGAGCAAAACTCACTAAGGTCCGGGGTCAAAGCGAGACCTACAAGAATCAGGTCCATTCACCATGGCCAAGCGGGTTCTCAAGCGCATACCACACCTGTTTCCAGTGTCAGTGAAGCTTTTAGATGGATCGGCTGCCCGCAAGCTTTAAGAGCAGGACTGAACATCACGAGGAAATGACACTCTGCTTTGTGAAAATACGTACCTACCAGGACCCACAAGGGGTGGTGAAGGGACACCCCTTAACCTCTCAGCGGCTATCAATAGAAGCCCCTTACGGGGTCCTGGTACATGGCTTATTGCTTTTGTGTGCTTTTGTCAGGTGCACTTAGTCACTAGGTGATGCGCAGAAATCTGCCCTGGCTCAACATCCTCCTTTCCTTCATCACACGAGAGACAGGCGAAAACATGAGGCGAGTATACACGAAGACAAGATCACTGGAGACGACTGGAGAAAGGTTACTTTTTGTGGGGTGGCCACCTTTGCCTGTATGGGTCAACCTAATGGCGATGGCCGCCAACCTAATAGCGATGGCCGCCAACCCAATAGCGATGGCCTCCAACCTAGTAGCTTCTTGCTACTAGATGAAGAGACAAACTCTCATGATCACCCCAGTGGGATAAGGATGATGCGGTGATGAGGAAGGTGATGGGTGGAAAAGGATGATGCGGTTCCGTCCACGGTGACCTGAGGACGGTGACCTGAGGACTGAGTGAATTGATTTGATCATCTTCCAAGGCATCGATGATCTAATCATAGTTCACCTAGTGTAGACTCTCAATGATTTCTTCTCTGAATGTTTTTGGGGCCCCTGCGTTTCTTCTGGAGGGTTCAACTGAGCATGAATGACCCTCTATAGTTATAGTGTCTGGTTGGCAATGCAAAAGCATTAGGGTCTTTTTAGTGGTCAAACATTGAAAAGTGAATCAGTTGTGAAGACTGTTTCTATCTAATTAGTTTGGCTGGCTATATTCGGCTATAAATAAGTTAATACTGGTATCATATAAGACAGTTGAAAAAATATGTGACCCCAAATCAGGGTGCCACAATTTTGCTCACATGCGCCCACCAGGCGTGCCGGACCAATGCCAGAGGTATCAAGCGAGCCCACCATCTGCCTCGGCAGTTCAGGGAAGTGGATGCTTTTTTTTTCCTCTAGAAACAGGTGGTGAACTCCAGAATCCATGATTCTTTCAAGTGTATTGTAATTATAGTTGCTTTGACGTTTCACGTAACTCTCCAGAAAGTGGACCTCCGAACGGCAATGACGGCACGAACAGCCAGCGATCAACTGCTGGTATGTACCAGTACCTCTCAGTTTAGTAGAGGACTTTGCGTTTGGTGAAGCATGATGTCCAACCCCGAGTCCAACCCCAATCGCCTCGTGATGACCCCGAAAAAAAAACCCAAAACCTACGCAGAACGCAGGCAGTGGGAAGGACTGAATCTCTCCCAGAAGTTACGGCGTGGTGGATGAAATATGTGGTCATTTCCCTTCGATGTTCTCATTCACCAGATCTCATGAACAACAACTCAGCCACATCCCATCACTTCCCGAAAATTCTTCCAGGACATGTCAACCCAGGCCGTGACACCACGTTGCGAGAAGGGCGCCCCTTCGGAACCAATGGACGAGAATAAGGGGGGGCCCTCAGCAGGGGCGCCCCTTTTCCCCAGCTTAGCTCCACACGACATCGTGAAGTCCTTCGAGCTTCGGCAGCTCCTCAGCTTTGGCAAATCTAAAGGTGCCCACGTACAAACCCCAAGCGTCCCTCTGCTGCAGCACATGATGTACGACTCGAGATTAAAAATACTCTTCTCCCGCATGTGCATACCCCCACCCAGTTGGCCATGGCAATTCAAGTGGCTTTGGCAAATATGGTGCCCAAGTCTATCACTTGAACAAGAGGAAGATGAGTCCAAGCCGCTTGAGTCCAACCAGGTTCGAACGCTACAAGACGACCGAGATCGAGTTCATCCACGCGCAGAACACTCGTAAACACTGACCCAATTCCTTCGATCTGCTTCCCTGGTTCCATCACCCTTGATCTCACCTTCTCTCCACATCCGCCGAGGGTCCTCCAAAACTCCCGTCGGGTGACCGGGACTCCGTCGACACGGGGCCGACCGGTTGGTTCGGGCGCCGTCCTCTGAGCCACCGGTTGGTTCGGTCACCCAGCGTGCGGTCGGAACCTTCCGCTCAGGTGGGGCCAACTGGGTTCCGCTTGTTGACGTGAATGAAGTGAAGCATGGGTGAAACATCATCACCTGTTCTTTGGCTCGACCCATCGCCCTGAGCTTAGCTCAGCCTCAAGAAAGCCTCAAGGGAGGCTGTCGTGAAGGCTGAAGTGTTTGTTGCAAAGTAGTCAAATCAAAGGATGTCAAAATGGAAACTGACATATGGCCCAACCCAGTTCAGTTGCTCTCTTCGGCACGCTCACAAAAACCTGACAGCCCAAAACCCGCAGGAGTTGGCTCCACCTAATGAGTCGCTTTATTCTTCAGACTCGCCGTCTGTGTCTAAGATCATCTAAAATGGACCAGTGGCTTTGCCACTTGACGCTGCCTCCGAAAAGGAAAACTTGACGCTTCTTGGCCGAAAAATACGGGGTCATGGGCTTGGTCTTGACTGAGTCTTGACCGTCTTCAGACCCTGGAGTCCTGGCCTGTGCCAGGCGCTCCCCATCTTTGTGGGGTGGCCAGTTTGGCACACCTGTGATCTACTCAATCTACTGATCTACTCGCCTCTAAACTCGCCTCTGGCAGCCAATGAATTGCTTCTTTTTCAACACCAAATCGAATTGCGACTTATGAACCCCGTTGTGAATAGCTTGAATAGCGGTTCAAGGGCGGTGCTTTCCACTCAGACTCAAGGGCTCGGTCAAAACCAGGGACCAACACATTCAGGGGTTGTTGACTCCAGAGGGTCTCATCTTGTGAGATCCTTCTCTGGCATGCTGTGTGGATCAAACGCAAAGGCGGCAACCACCGGTTGAACCATGATGAAACCATAGCATCTTCAGGAACAAACACTTTAGTGAACTCTTCAATCTTCATACATCCTGTTTTGCCGGTGTGATGAGTTGTGATGAGTGAACACCCAAAGAAATCAACGTGCCTTCATCGAAGAACATCGACCGGTTCGCGCCATTCATGGCCAGTTGCTACATGTCTCATTCCTCGGCTGCCGAACCGCGGCTAGGCTCGCTCCCTCAGGCCGGAACACCCTCCTCGGCTGCCCGTGGTCGTGGCGTTGTCGGTGTCACCGGGCACCGACCGGTTGACGCAGACCTCTCCTGGTTGACCGGGAGAAGAAGACAGGTCACGATTCAGGTGGGGGCATTCAGGTCAGTCACCACCCATCCCCATGTTGTGTCAACAGTATCTCTGACTCGAATTGAAGGGAACCTACTGGGCTGGATCATGGCCATCATGGCGCGGCTGAAACTCGGACACATTTCTAATACCCTTAAGGCTGCTAGGAGGATGTGGGAAGTAGGCGAAGAGGTTGAGGACTTCCTCTTTTTGAGACACCCGCATCTGATCTCTACTCTTCCAATCTCTTGCAAGTTCAGGAGCTGTCTATCTTACACTCAAAAAGAACGCCGTCTCCTATCAAATCCTACACCTGTTGGACAGGAATCCTACACCTGTGTATGTGTAGGAATGCCATCTTTTTCCGAGTATGTTAGGCTTATTGAGAGCTTCTGAGTTTTAGTTAGTACAATTTCTGATAAACTCTTTCGAAGGAAGCTCCATTCTCTAAACACCCCCAACTGGCAGCTCCAAGACCGTTGCCAGGCTTTCGCCCACAGAGGACGTCCATCCCGCAGTAGAAGCGTCATGGCCATTCTCGTCATGTCCAGAGGCACCGTCCATCCATCGTTTCGAACTGGTGGGAAAGTGAGTGGGAAGTGTTCTTGTGGTCCTTTCCTTTTGTTGGGGGGGGGGCCTATTGCTTTAGATGATTTGCTGGACATCAAAACAAAACACATAGCGCTTCTTTCATGGCAAACAACAGCCCGGTGATGCCTGAAATCAACCGCCGCAGCGTGCTGGACCCATCCAGCTCCCCGCTGGTGGGCCCCAAGCGTGCGAACTCGTTGGAGCACGAGTTCGCAAAGAAAGGGACTTGCCCTTTACTAGCGATAGCTCCAATAATGTTTATAACATGTAGCGTCCTTGTTCCTAGTAGTAATGCCAGGAGCTCCTAGTAGCTTCTTGTTCCTGGTAGTAAGGCCAGGAGCCCCTAGTAGCTTCTAGTTGCTACTCGTCATATTTGTGGAAACTCCTCTTGTGGAAAACACCCAGCAAAAATGCAATTCCGAGCTCCATTGCTGCAGCCTCCCAACCACTGCCGCCACTCAAAAATAGGCTACAGCGACAATGAAAAAGTGCAGTCAAGCTGCCTTCTGAGTTTCTGCATCCTTCTTGGGTTCCTCCTTCTTTTCCTCCTTCTTGGGCTCCTCCTTCTTGGCCTCGGCATCCTTCTTTGGTTCCTCCTTCTTCTCCTCCTTCTTGGGCTCCTCCTTCTTGGCCTCGGCATCCTTCTTTGGTTCCTCCTTCTTTTCCTCCTCTTTCTTTGGCTCTTCCTTCTTGGCCTCGGCATCCTTCTTTGGTTCCTCCTTCTTATCTTCCTTCTTGGGCTCCTCCTTCTTGGCCTCGGCATCCTTCTTTGGTTCCTCCTTCTTCTCCTCCTCCTTCTTTGGCTCTTCCTTCTTGGCTTCGGCATCCTTCTTTGGTTCCTCCTTCTTCTCCTCCTCCTTCTTTGGCTCTTCCTTCTTGGCCTCGGCATCCTTCTTGGGCTCCTCCTTCTTTTCATCCTCCTTCTTTGGCTCTTCCTTCTTGGCCTCCGCATCCTTCTTTGGTTCTTCCTTCTTTTCCTCCTCTTTCTTTGGCTCCTCCTTCTTGGCCTCGGCGTCCTTTTTTTGGTTCCTCCTTCTTCTCCTCCTTCTTTGGCTCATCCTTCTTGGCCTCGGCATCCTTCTTTTCGTCTTCACGGATTACATCAGGAGGGAATCCCTCCTCGCATCACTTTGGAGCACATTCCCAGGAAGATGCTTGTCATACAAAGCAATGTTGAGTGCGACTGTCTCCCAAAGATTCCCAAAGTAGATAGTTGATGCACATGTCACGTTGATCAAAATGCCCACCGGGACCTGGCTGGTGAAATCCAACGAACGGTCAGAAGAAGAGCCCCTGTGTGAATGTCGCATAACATACCCTGCATCACCCAATTGCTACCCTGCAACCCTACAAAGTGCGATCGCGATAGGAAGATCAACCCTCTACCTGAAGGGTTCTGTATGGCTTTGTCAATGTTCTCGATATGTTCTTTTTCGAGGGTTCTGGGGAATGAAGCATGACGAAAACACTCGAAAACCTCTGTGTTTCTCCAGTTCTGCACCTCGAGGTGTTTCTCCAGTTCTGACGTTTCAACACGGCACTCGTCCTGGTAGGTTCCTTGTGCAGCTGCGCTCGCAATGGCCAACTCTTGCAAGTACAGCTCACCTTGGAATGCAGAAATGGTCTTCTTCGATGATATCATCTACAGTTGTCCATGGGGGTCCCGGGTCCCCAAACATTTTTGTGGATCGTTTCAGGGTTCCCCAACAAAATGTACACGTCGAGATAAGAGATGAACATGTTTCGATCTTTTTGTCCCCAAACGGTACTAGCCCCAACAAGTGAAACTCTATGAACAACTCATGTATATTACTCGTAATACAACAACCAGCCCAGGATTCTCGTAGAACGGGTGCAAAATTGTGAACAAACTTATCCTTCATTGAAGATGGTAAACTGACTGATGGAAACCCATTCCAAAATTGCAAACCCTTAAGTTCTCTCTTTTCCTGGAGCACTAAAATTCAAACTTGAAATTCATTGCAGCATGTCAGGATAACTGCATGACAAAATCTCGATGTTTTTGTCGTGGCGGCTAGTAGTTAGTACTCCACATAACTCCACCACCAACACCTGACCTTCCAGCCCGAAGTCCAGCTCTGCAGCGTTTTCGTTCCCTTCGTCCCGTCGCGAAAGGTTCGCCCAAGGAGCTCATTTCTTTCAAAGGAATCTTTCCGCCCTGACCCTGCGGCCGTCGCTTCGGTCAGAGGTCAGAGATGTCACAGGTCAGAGCTGCCGTTGAGGTCAGAGGGCTCGGAGCGTTGTTGGGTGTCGTGGGGTGAAACGACCGCGGTCGTCTCAGGGCGACGTACACGGCGTGTCGGCCCTTTAGGGGTGTTTTTTACAGAACGTCTGAGCTGAAACAGGTGTAAACGCCACGAAGCCCAGAAAATAGACCAGTTGGACGCATCTCTTGGAAGGTGCCCTAAATTGAAATCGTTTTGAAAGACACACCCCAGATGATCTTTTGAAGATATGGCATTCCTCCAAGCCTCGATGAACCTTGCAGGACCCACCAACAAGCGGAGAGGCGATGTACCAGCGGATGGGCCAGCGCGTCTTCTCAGCCAGCTGTCTGGGCCCAAACCTGTTGTACACCCTGAACAAGAACCACTGCCGGGGGGGGAGCGGGGGAGGAAGAGGTTCCTTTGAATTCCTTTATCCTTGCAATGGTTCCCAACAGATACCGTGCATGTTTTCTGTTGTCTGGGCAGAATCTGAAGTGGCAGTCCTCCTTGTCCGGGGATCGGCTCGGCTCGGCTTCGGCGGCTGGGCCTTACAGATGTTTAAAAGGGGAGCTTGTAAAGCCCAACTCCATGAGAAGGAGATGTTCCTCAGCATGGGAAGCAACGGAACCCGGAAAGCACGGCGATGGGTTTTCTTCTCGGGATGCTTGAGAATAGTGGAGTATCGGAGTATCTGAGAAATCGAACACATGGTGCATTTTGACCTTGACCAGAACCATTGCATCCTCAGATCGAAAACTATAGCTCCTTCAGAAGCACCCGGAACTTGCGGCGCTGCTCGCTCCGGCCCATGCCCATCCATCCGTTCCAAACGGTTCCATTCCGCAGCACACGGTCTCTTTGGTTAAAAAAACAAGACGCGGAATCTCTTGTTTTCAGAGCGACGCAGACTCGCAGTTTGTGGCCATCTAAGCCGCCAATGGAAAAAAAAAAGCACTTGGCTTTTTGGTTTGATTTGGTTGGTACTTGGTACATGTATAGTCTATGAAGGGTATCATATCTCAATCAGTGGAACACAGCCCCTTCCAAAGCCCATCTTCCTTTACAAGACACAGTTGCAAAGAGTTACAAACACCACAACAGCAAACAGCACAACAGGAGCAGGTTGTATTAAATAAACACTTGCCCAAACACTCCAAGATGTATGCAATATTTCCATATGTTGCAAACACACTCGCCCGGGATGATGAATAAAACTGGATCCCATGTATAGGATCTAAGCACCTTCCAGTCCCATGGACTGCGGTCCGTCCGTCCCCAACCATGCGTCCAGGGCATTCGGCCCAGTCGTTTCTTCACCTGGCGCGCAGGCAGCCACCGTGGCGTGAAGAACATCGAACATCGTCAGGTTCGACGTCATCCACCGCCCTGATGCGTCGCCGGCATATAGGCTCCCCCGGGGCAAAAGAGCTATAAAATGATCAAAACATGTCATTTCTATTACAACATGGCATGTTATTTTACATAAAATGCTATAACATATTACAAAATGCTAAAAGGCCATGTCATGCCATGTCATTTCTACTTGTATACCATCGCTTTGGAGTTTGGAATCCGAATCCATACCCACACAGGTCCTCCGGACCGAGTCAACGCCCTCCGGCCTTGTTCAACGCGTTCAGCCGGGCCGCAGCGCCTTCCAAGCTCTGTCCTCCGCTCAAGAAGTTCACGCCGCGGATGGCTGTGGGCATCACCTGCACCATTTGGAGATAGATTTCTGTATGCGGAAAATGGGGCAGAGTGCAGTAGTGCAGCTTTTTAGGGCTGAGGACATATGTCAAATGGAGTACTAATTACTGAGTACACCGTCATACACGGTCCCATGTCCGAGCACTTATAGCAGTCGGGCTGACTGTCTGTTCTGGTCAACCACGTGGAGCTGACGAATCACTTCAGGGTCGATGGGAGTCTGTCAATGGACCGCGGAAAAAAGGCTGGTTCCGTCGGTCATTTCCAAGCCCAGTGAACCAATGGACAGCAAAAGTTGACGTGTTGGGTGCCACGTGTTGGGTGTCTCATCCCTCAATTTCGATGAGATGAGACCAAAACACTCAATGACCCTCAGAATTCCAGGGTAGTGAACTGCGGGTGTGGAAAAGGATGGAAAATGTTAGATGAAACATGATGAAGCCGCGTCTGATGGAGAAGTCTTTCATGGTGTCTTGAAAAAGACCTTCACTGGTTTGATATGGGCGGTGAAAAAAGCGGCCCTGAGGGGCGGAACCGTTGATGCACAAACCACCTGGACCTCTTGGCTTGGGAACCATACCAACTCTTCAGGAACCATGTATGATACGGATCCGGTACTGCCACCTGATAGGACCAGCTGCTAGGAGTCAAGTCAACTTAGGGCCAGTCCTTGAGGGCCATGGTGATTCAAAGGTGTAAAGAAAAACCATGTCCTTCTCAGTGCCTCTCAGTCCATTGTTCCAGAAATCGTCCGACAGAAAAGGAACACCGGCATCCAAAACCGTGCTGTGATGGAGGAGAACAGCCAACGGACACATCTTCCGTAAGAAGCAGTCACAAACAAAACCAGGATCACCGTCCCACTCACCTCGTTTCACCTTGGAAAATCGTTGGACATCTGTCGTTCTCGCATCTTCTCTTCAGCTCTTTCTCTGCTGGGACTGACAGCTTTTCCTCACCACGTCCCAAACTCCTCAGTCACGTCACGCCACTCCCATCACCCAGTCCCCACACTCGGTCTCCCGTTCGATCCGCTGAGTCATCGCGTTCGATGACCGGTCAGGCGACCGCCGGGCCCCCGAGCTCTCCGCAGGACCATCATGTTCGCCACCGCGATCCTCGGGATGTGGGGCTGAAATGGCCAGTGAGCGTGGTTGGAACCCACATCGACTGAGGATCTTGAAGCAAGGTGAAGAGCGTAGTCACTATCGTCATCATGAGTCTGTGACGAGCCCTCCTGAGTCGTCATGATGTCCAGTGATGAACGTCGCGTGCTTTATTTTTGTTGGAACGTCGGGTGCTCTTCGCGGTCGGAGTGAGGATTCAGCCCTTTTATTGCAGGTTCATTCATGAAATCACATCACGTTCGATCGACAACTCGAACGAATGAGATTGGTGCATGCGGTTGGCATGCATTTGGCGTGCCCAAAACTGGCGAGAGCGATACTAGTCACGCTCCCACTCATGAACACGGTACAACATTAGTAAAACTGTATAGAGGGACAAGTTACCATACTCTGTCAGTAAGCCGACGTGTACTACGGCACTACAATTAGCAAGTTCTGACATACAATGTTGACAAGTACTTCAACACCTATGAGCTGACAAAAATGGTTCCCCCCAAAACTGACATTGGCAGAAATATCATTCTGCCATATTCTGCTAGTAGGGAAATGTTGTGAAACATCTGTGGAACATGCTGGCTTTTGAGCATTGCTAGCACTTTTGCGCCCTGCCATCCCCTGGCCCAGTGGCTCTTCCACGCTGTAGTCATGGTCACAGGACCTAGAGGTCCGCAACGCGCAATCTTCGCATTGGGTTGGCAGGTCCAGGAAAAGACATCTTATTATAGACCATATAATACCACCTGTATAATTATATATATATATGATTGTATATTAATATTAATAATATGTATCTGATACTATGACATATGGCAATTGAGTCCATAGACTGCTAAGACACCTCCTAAGTGTGCCAATGGCATATTGTGGTAGTGACGCTCATTAAAGGTGATTCTCCATTCTTCCTTGCAAGCTAGAGCAACGAAAAGCAATAGCCCCAAAGAAGACCATTGTGTCCAACAGGACGTAAAGAACTGGAAACATGCTCCATGTCCAGTGCTGGACATCAAAGCTATCCAACTGGGCATCATTGGGGAAAGAATTCATGGGGGCAACTCTTGAAGATGGAGTTGTTTCATGCGTCTTCATGCAACCTGTAGATTCCCTCCATTCCAAGATTCTCCATGAGGGCCAAACAGAAGACCCTGCTTAGTGTATCCAACATGGTGCTGTAAATCCTGATGTGGGAAACTCCTTGTCGGCAATGTTTTTGTCCAAGCTACAATCCCGGGTTGACCAGGTTCGTCTTCAGAATGGTGCCTCAACGGCAGCGATCAGGCAAGCGATCAACAGCCAACACTGCAGAATTCCAGACCTGGGACACTTGCTGTAAACGTCATCTGGCTTTGTCGTCAATTTAACCCCCAGCATGCCCGTTTCATGTGTTGCATTCCTTCCAAACTGGCTCGGAGGCTCTGAAGCAGAGCCTCACAGGTCGCCCAACTTCCGGTCGAGTCGCGGAAGTTCGAAACAACACGACTCGAACTCGGACCATCGAAGATTCGACCTTGAGAGGTAGTCTCGGTGTGTCGGCGACGGATGGTGCATGTGCGGGTTTTTTCTAAGAGCCTCAGAGAGCCCACGACCGATGGAGCCATCGGAGATGGACCGGTGAAGAGGACAAGAACTGGACCAACAAGAACAGCGGAACTAAGAACGTGTGTAACACGTGATGCTGCAGCCATTTGCAAAGAGGTGCTTGAAGACATCCCGCTTCGGGGGGGGTGTCCAGACCACATCGAAAGGACCGGATGCTCTCCGTGTCAAAGCAAACAGGGATGCAGCAACCGTCGGATGCAGCGGAACAACCGTCGGGGACTTGAAACAAGACCCCTCCCCCCCACAAGCGGATGGTCTACTGAACTTGCTGAAGGTGGGTCAAATCCGAACGTTCACCGGACCCTGACCCGGGTCGGCCCGGGCAACACATGGTACGTACCATGGTACGTACCCATGGTACGGTCAACTCCTCGAACACATTCTTTCCCATGTGGGAAATGAGATTACCAGTGGGATTCCTTCAGTTTGTATCTGCTTGTCTTCTTAGAACCCACTCCACGGATCACGTTGTCCGGTGTCCCCGGTTGTGGACTGGGCAGCCTTGCCTTCCATGTAAACCCCGTGGTCCAGCATGGCCTTGTAGAGGGTCGCCCTCAGCATCAGGGCTGCAAAGGCTGCACGGTAGCGAGCGAGCGTTCACGCCCGGGGGAGCGAGCGAGCGTAGCGAACGTGGAGAGGTGACGAGTGTAGAGTGTCGATCTTTGGAAGGGGGGCCAGTTCTCCCTGGAACTAGCATGGAAGTGGAAAACACCCTGTTTGTAGAGGATTGAAAATGGTCTTCCAAGAGGCCATTGTCTTCCATGTGAGTTCCAGGGAGTGTAAGTCTTGAAGTCTTGAAGTGCGAACTTAGTTGGAAGTGGACACATTCGCCCTGATCCGTTCGTCTTCGAAGATAGCTGCAACAGCACATGAGCTGAGAGGAGTTGCCTTCTTTTTTAAGCTCGAGGTCAAAGCCCCTTACAAAGTCCATCTTCCAAGCTCTTGAGATCTTCCCCCCATTCCCCAGTTTTCTTTCCTCTCCTCACCAGTCACCCTCCCAATCATCCTACCATATTGTCGTTTGTTTCATTGCTATACTGCTGCATGAACATCCTGATCTACCATGCCAGTCTACCAAGGTCTTTCCACTCCGTCCTCCCAATCGTTCCTTTCTTCTTCCTCCGGTCCTCACCCCTACTGGGCGATTCGACTGAACCTCCACGTTGACGGCGACGGCCGTTTCCAGGTCATGGTCGCCTCACAAAGGGAGTGGAGGGAGTGGGAGGGAGGTGCGGAAATATGCGGGTGCTTTGGAAAAGAGAGACCCTCCGGAGTTTTGAACACTGAGAAAGATCAGGAGGATCAACTGAGGTGATGTGGAGAATTGTGGAGATAGCGACCCGGAGGGTTCAAAGATCGCGAGATACCGCGTCATGCGATATCAGAATATGCTGAAATGAAATCACTGCCGGACATGCTCTGGACACACTCCAAAAAAATGGGACGAACATGAACAGCCACATCAACTGATTTGAGGGCCCCCGGAGGTTTTGGTGGCCGCGCCTTTCATCACGATGTCCGGCTCGACGATTGGCACCAGGCCCTGCCGGAAGTGCTGCACATGTGATGGACACCCGCTTCAGCCGTTGGACTAGTGGCGAAATAGGCCGACTTCCCAGAACGAGCTGTGAGACATGATGGTGACTTCTCACCTGATTCTCCTTTTTTTCACAGCCGGCAACCGGAAATAGGTCGGTGAATATAGAGCAATGTTTTATACCAGTCTCCAATGGGGAGGGGTAATGTCAGGTGTCTTCAAATCAGGCTTAGCCTTATTGCATCAATAGATCTAACACACCGACCACTTTCTGACAGCACCAATTCCCAAATTCGCACGTGCCAGCAGGGGAGCATCTTTGATAAAAAATGTATGCCATGATGGAACGTAGAGGAAAATCGTCTTCCAGACGGTGCTTTCCGGGACACTCTTTTCTTCATCAACGGGGTGCAGCGAGTCGATGGCGGGCACAAGGCCTCATCTTGGCAAATCAATGCCTCGGTCAATGCCGCAATTGTTCTTGATGTCTTGTTTTTGTTTTACTTTCTTACTTTCTTACTTAGATCTGTGGATCCCAACTGTGGAACCACAAAAGATGTTCTCAGAGGTGCTTCTACATGAGGCAAAAGAAGCAAGAACAGGGTCTTACAGGCACGAGTGACTGAGTGGCGTCGCGAGTCGCAAGGCCGTGTTTCACGAGGTTGTTGACAGAGTTCGTGTATGGGTTTCACGTCCACTGCTCAGGGAGACCAGAAACCAGTGCAGACCAGTTGAAACAAAATTGCTTCGGGTTGCATCCACCGAAGCTGACCCCGGAAGCATTGAAAACGTTGCTGTGAGAGGTTATCTTTTTGAATCCTTCTCCAAGCCAGCAGTTGTGGGAACATGTTGAAATATGGAGTGGACATGAATGGACAATAAAAGGAGTTTCCAGCTCTTTCCACTATCAGATGCTAGTACAACCCTACAAGCTGACGATCCCCTAAGGCTTGTTCTAAGCAACGACAGCATCCAGCTCAACCCACTAGTCTTCTACCGATTGATAATCAAGCTGATATTGGTGATTTAAATATGAACAGTTTTAAATATGAAAAACCACTCTATTACATGGCTTGGATGAATTTAGACATATTGTTATTGAAGAATGTATATATGCGAAAAAGGTAGCACGGCGCTCAAGGTCCGTGAACACGTCGAAAACGATGGTGCCTCAAGAAGCACCGCGGCCGCGCCTTTTCTCAAGGCGAACGCCCACCCGAGGCTCGAGTGGGAAAGCGTCGGGCATGAAACAGTTCGAAAAGCTGCAACCCTAAGTGCACAGCGTGAACTTTACATGGAGGAAAAGGGGTCTCCAGGAAAGCTGTGCTCGAACCTATCGAGCCATTGGAAAACTCTGGTGCGCATCGGTGCTGCACCATCTGGATCAGAAAGATCCGGCGGAATGATCCGCAGGCTACACAAGCGGCAGCTGTCAACTCGCCTCTGAAGGCGGGTGTCTCTTCCATCAAGACTCGGGCAGTTCGGGTCCACATGCCACTTGGCTCCGTGGCGGCTCATCACCACACCCCTGTAGAACGGGCACTCATTTCCATGCTCGTCCATCTGGCGAAGGGCGGACTTGATGATGTCCTTTGCATCATGGACCAGGGTTACAGCATCGTTCTGGCCTTGGATGGCCAGGTTCAAAGCCGCTCGGGCTTCACATGCAGCAAGGCGGGACTCCTCTGCTTTGTTGCTCCATCGCAAGATCTCTTGCTTGAGCCTCGTGACTTCTTCTCGAAGGCGGGCAGGGACGAGCGCTTCGTCTTTCTGCACTCCAGCCTCTTGGACATTGGCACGTACTTCAGGAGGTGCTCCATGGCTATAGCGTCCAATCATGAAAGCTGTGCTCAAAATGAGCACAAAGAAGGTGCACAGCATCACACCAAACCAGTCCACTTCAGCTCCAGCTTCACTTTCGGCATGTGTTGCCGATGACAGTTGAGGGGCCATGAACAAAAGCAAACACCAAAACATGACATTCGGCATGCGACCGGTGAAGGGCTCTACCACGCGGCTCTCGACATGGCTCGGACTGTGGGAGACATACTTTAACTTCAGGTCGGTCCGCGCAAGCCTGACATTCTCAGGGAACAGGGCATTCCTGGAAATTTCTTCATTCCAAAACACTTGCTCATCGACAAAAACTTCATTCTCTGGGAGATGCTCGTCGATGGTTTCCAGGTGCTCTTCAGGGAGGTGATTCTCCTCATCAGGCAGGGGCTGTGTGAGTACCTGAATGCTTTCAGCAAGGCTCTGTTGGAGCTCAGCTTTTGTTTTCTTCTTGGCAGCTTTGTAGGAGGGGTCCCAAACAAGCTTCAAACGACCGTGACGGAGTCGTTGTGCAAGAAGTGCTCTGGCCGACTCTTTTGTCAATCCGTCAGCCAGTTGGCGCTCCGATGACATCCACCTCAAAGAACCGCCGAGGGAAGTGAGGCGATCCTTCATCACACGGATCTCAAGCGAAACTCGCTTGTCAACCACAGAGCTTCCGACTCCTTCTCGATGATAGGAGTCGTAAAGGGCCTTGGCGTCCGTGATCATGGTGGGCGACAACAAGGAAGGAGCGTCCAAGAGCTCTTTGAGTTGCTGGCGAGGGTCAACCAACAAGCTCCAGTAGATGCTGGCATGTTCCAATGCATCGCAAGCTTGACCACCGCTTTGTGCTTCGGCGCCCAATGAGGAGCGTGCAACTCTTGGCGTCTTCAAGCTGCGCCAATCCAAAACATGGTAGGCTCCTTCGGGTCCATTGGCCTGAAGCAAAGCTTTGTTGACCATCAGGATCACATAGCCAGCTTGTGAGGCTCCGTCGCTTCGGGTGGCAAAAGCAGCATCAAAAAAACATACCATACAAAGTTCTGAAACTTTACCCAGGTGGCTGTACTGTAGACCAACGTCAGCATTTTCTTTTGCAAAACGCAGCAGGCGATTGGTGTCGGCCACCGTCTGGAGCGTGGCCTTGGTGACATGACCGCTCAGGATCGAGGTGCTGCTCTGCAAGTGAGGACTGCTCTGAACTGCAGGCCATTGTAGTGAACCAAGAAGTCCTCTCAGCTGTGTCAGCTCACGCTGATTGAGCGCATCAGTAAGGCTGCGCTTCTTGTCATAGGTGATCGGTTTCACCTTTCCCATGTAGCTGCTCTGGTTGAGGAGGAAGCCATCGTTGGCAGCAGCGATCACGGTGGGATGAGCTCCTCTGGCGGTCAACAAGTCAGCCAGAGCGTCAGGTGCCGGGTGACCAAGGTTCCGGTGAAGTCGCTGCACTGTTCGGAGAGCATCTTGTCGGTGCTCAGACTTGAGCTTGAGGAGATGTCCAGTTTCTTTCTTGCCAGTTTCGTCGACCACATATGCTGTGTCCCACAGTTGAGCAGCTGCGGGACGAGCCAGGGCTGCAGCCAAGGTTGCTGCAAAGCCAGGTTGGTAATCTTCCAAGTAGGTGGTCCGGCGTCCATAGCCAGGAGCAGAGCCTTCTAAAGGGCAGTGGTGGTGATCATGGTCACACTTCAACTGAAAGGCTTCAAGAACAGCCTGCTTCGTGGTCAGCAGGCGAGTGCTCTTTTGGACAGGTCGCCAGATGCCGTCGGTGTCCATGCACATGGCTCCATAGCGGCATTGATCAAAGTCGGCATAGTAGCCAGGAAGATCTCGAAGAGCCGTGGTGTTCCAGCTCAGTGCATGCTGGGGCTGCTCCAAGTGAGCATGCCGTGCATGGGTCACCTGTCGTAGGTAGATGCGCTTGGCAAAGCAAAGATGACGACGATGGTGGTGCTCACGACGGGCTTTCAATGCTTCTTGTTGCGCAGGAGTACGGCAAGCCAAGGTTTGCATTCTTGACCATAGGCGGCATTCTGGTGCCACTAACACTTCGTCAGGTTCTTCTTCATCGAGGCGTTGGAGTAGCTGTTGTTGATGGCTGATGAGGTTGAAGTCCCAGCCATTGTCCAAAGGAAACCTTTCCACCTTCATGCCAAGTTCCTCTGCAATGTGACCAGTGCGAGCTTTGCCACAATAGATCTCCCAGAGGACTCGTCGATGGTCAGGAGGATTGTGAAGCTCCTGAGTGATGTAGGTGGAGTTGGATGTCGTGACCAGCTGAGTCTCCATGGTTCGAAGGGCATGTCGATGAAGACGAGTGGATTGCAGTTCACAACCTGACAGGATCATGTCTTCAGCTTGGAACACGCGTTCGAGCTTGTTGAAGTCATCGAAGTGGAGATGGCTGCCCGGAGTTTCCTCAGCAATGCGAAGACTGAACAGGGCTTTCGTGGGGTCAGGCACTTCTTCCATGCCGGTGGTGAGGCTCAACAGGTATTCGCCATGACTTCCCACCAGCACTGAGGTCCAGGGAGAGCGACCAAAGCGAATGCGCTTCTGGCTGAAGTCGATGCCCATGTGCAAGGCCTCAATCACAGGTCTGCCCATCAACATTGGCGTATTGCCAGGGACCCAATAGCATTGAATCGTGCCGAACTGGCCGTCGATCATCACAGGAAGGTCCACTGTCCATGATGCTCTTGAGGAAGCATCGCCGCCAAAATGGAACTGGCGATCGCATCGAGCAAAGCGGATGGTGTTGATGGGGTAGTTCATGGAGTGGAGATGGTTCAGGTAGCGGCCAAAGGGACCATAGCAGCACAGGAAAGCCGATGCACCTGGGTCCAACATGGTGGCGTCAGGTCGATCTGTGCCCATCTCATCCTGGAACAGGACCAAGGCGGTCTCATTCTGCAAGGCCATGCCTTCTGTAGGTGCAGGTCTCTTGTTGGGCGAGACTGGAGGCTTCGCACTTTGTGGACATTGAGCTGCCCAATGACCTGGTTGGCCACAACGAAGACAGGTAGTTGCCTTTGCACGACCTTTTGGATCTGACTTCCCACCTGAGGAGGAAGGGTAGCGCACCACGTTCTTTCCTTTTCCTTTGCTTTTGTTCTTGCTCTTTCCTTTGTTCTTGTCAGCTCCCTTCGAAGGTGAAGAGGATCCAGAGGCGGCTGAGGTGTTCTGACCATCAGTGAGGGCGACAATCGGCAGGTAGCCACGAGCCAACTTGAGTTGCTGGAATCTTTGCCGGGCATCCAAGTAGGTGGCATAGGCGTGGTCATATTCTTCTGCCAGCTCTTGAGGATCTTCAGGTGTGTCATTGTGATCACCCGTGTCATCATCGTCGCCGTAGTAGATGGCGTCATAGTCGAAGTCAGCCTCAGCATCAGGGGCAGTGTCATCATACCAGTCGTCGGCCTCATAGTAGGCCTCTTCCAGCCAAGGTTGCTCGGACCAGTAGGCATCTTCGTCATCGAATGCAGCGTAGCCGCGGCCCTTCCAGCGGTTGAACTTGCGATCACGTTCAGCATTCCATCCGCCAGCTTTGTAGTCCTGACCGAACAACAGGTACAGGGCCTCAATGACAGGGGTCTTTTCCAACGTAGGAGCTTTCAGTGTCACCATCTGGCGTTGCTCCTTTGACAAAGCAGCACGTCGGAGTAGATGCCATCCTTGAACCTGACCAGGAAGGGTCACGTTGTGAGCGGTCAAACGACGGTAGGCGGTGTCATGGTCCGTGACGAAGGACAGGAGGCTTTGTTGAGGCTTTCGTTGCAACAAGTTGAAGTACTCCTCAAAGTCGTTCGGAAGGAGCACTCGATCATCATACTCGAAGTTCTTGTCGAGCTTGGAGATGATCTTTCCAAAGCCATCTTCCTTCTCAGCTTCTTCGACTGAGAAGTCCTCAAACAACCGCCAAACCCTGAAAACTTCCCAGGATGTTCAGGACAGATTCGGCTGTGCGCTTGCTGATCTTCATCTTGTGGTGGTAGAGCATCAGCCTCTTTCTATACTCTTTGTAGTCCTGGGGTTGGCCACTAAAAAGTGGAACGAAGGAGTCGCGCAGAGTGGTGTAGTCTCCGTCCTTGGAGCTTTCTGCAGCCGATGTCGTTGGTGGCATTCTAGCTCAAGTAGCCAAGACCGATAGGGCTCTTCAACGAGGAAACAAAAGAGCTCGGCCAAGGGTTCGTGACAAAGGACTTATGCAGAACCTCGTTCTTCTTCGCGCAAAGGACTCGGAGCCCCCCGGAGGAGGCTCCGCTACCAATGCGAAAAAGGTAGCACGGCGCTCAAGGTCCGTGAACACGTCGAAAACGATGGTGCCTCAAGAAGCACCGCGGCCGCGCCTTTTCTCAAGGCGAACGCCCACCCGAGGCTCGAGTGGGAAAGCGTCGGGCATGAAACAGTTCGAAAAGCTGCAACCCTAAGTGCACAGCGTGAACTTTACAATATAATATATGCTTTGTACAATTGGAAATTCTCGGTAGCAGGACCTTTTGTTGATGGACAACAGCCTAGCAGGAGAACTTGAACGAATCTTACTACCAATAGAATTCAACATATAGAATCGCAAGAACACAATCAACACAGGTGAGAATCATTGGACTCTGCGAGAGTTTTGACTCTGCTTAAGGCGTTGGACCCTCAAACTCCCCAAACAACTTGAAGCTCTCCATGATTCCTTCTTTCCTTCTCAATTGCAAGCTCCGTCCCTTCTCAACGCCGCAACTTGGTCCCCCGGCATAGCGCGCCAGGTCGTTCATGTTCGCCTCGATGGCCATCTTGGTGGGACCAAAGCGCGAGATCTGCAGCGGACTGCGCCACTTCGCGAACTTGGCGCCCGCCGCCTGGAGGACAAGACGCACGGCCGCGAGGACGACGCGAGGGGTTGTTGGTTGTTCATGCCGAGGTGAAACTTGGAGATGAAAGCGGGAAACTTGAGCTCCATGCTGTAGGCCAGAAGTTTCCCTGGTGATTGTAGCTAGACAAGACTATTCAAGACTATATGATACAAGAACTGCAGCAGCAAGAACAAATATTCCGCCCAAAAGCTGGCTTATAGTGTTTCTCCTGTCAAGGGTTTCGTTGGCGCCTTGTACTCTTCGTTTCCACCTGATAGATCCCGGCAGCAGGCGCCTTGTATTCCCGGCAGCGGACGGCCAGGGAGTCGAGGCCTTGCATCACGGTGTCCTTGGTGCCTGGCAACTCCTCAGGCGGAAGGAGCGGACGGCCACCGATTTGGACCACCGGGGGTTCACTGAAAGGACACGCATCTGAAAGGTCATGAAAGGATGACTAAGAACTGATATGAATAGAAACATCTATGGCGCCATGGAATGAATGGTCCGATCGTCTCCGATCTTTTCCACCTGACTGACGGGGGAACACCATGGAACACCTGCCCTTTTTCAGGCAATGAGAATCCTTGTGAATCCTCGGGTTTTTCCACCGGTGCCGTCCATCCATTCGATGCCACCGAGCTATCCATCTGTGCCATCAAGGACGAGGACCATTCCGTTGGTGCTGAGCCGGTGTACAGCACAGTCATTGAACATTGAAGATACCGTGGTTGTTTTTCTTGTAGGCTGGGCTGGTCCAAATCATTCAAACACGTGATGCCTATGAAGGACCTTCTTGAACTCGAACACCTTTAAAGTGTTGAACGACATGCTTGAACACATCTAGATTCAGGCACCACCCGCCTGTCCCTGGCCACCCACCCAACTCACACCAGCTGTCACCAGCTGCCGCTCGTTGGTTTCCCCAGCTGCCGCCCCCCTCCCGCAGCTTGCGCAGCTTTGGCCCAAGCGACGTAGACCTTCAAGTGCGGTTTGACGCCCGGGATGATGCCACGCTTCTCGAGAGCTTCAGGGAATGGCACGCCTGAAGCCGGCAAGAATCGGTCAGACTCGAAGCCATGGCCCTTCAGACTTGAATCTGTCATGTGGAGACTTGTTACATGAACTCTACAACTGGTTGAGACCATTTTGGACACCAGGTGCACATCACCGAGCGCTTCGGCGCTTCCCGGTATTGGGTCATCACATCACTGGGGTCCTCTTAGTTTACTTGCCCAGCTGCCACTAAAGATGCTGACACAAAAGTCTATGATTAAAAAAAAGACTCAGACCTAATTGAAACAGCCCCTCGTTCCCAAAGGATCCAACCGGATGTTTTTCTATCATTCACCTTCAGGCAGAAGGGCCCACCCATCTCACCTTCGGCGCGGATGCGTCTTCAGGGCCTTCATCGTCCTTCTGGTACATCGTCTCCGGATCCAGGATGGCGGCGCTCAAATAGTTGTTGATCCCTCGAGCCGACACGCGAGGGATCCGATCCCGGTTCCGGGTACACCACATGAGGAACTTGGAAGAGGTCCTGCGGAGCTTTTGGGAAAACGGGACGAGTTGGGCGAGTGATCAAAGCCATGGATTCTTTCATTCGGAAAGAACGCAGAAGTTACAAGTCAATACACCTCCCTGGCCATGTGCCAGAATGAAAGAAACATCACAACAAAACACACTGCCACACTGCTGAAAACCGCTCGCAACCGCTCGCAACCGCGCAGCTCCATTGGGCCAAGAGCAGCCGATCGGTTCGAGAACGAACCGTCACAGAAGAGCGATGTTCGGGGAGCTCCAATGGAAAAAGAACCCACTCGGATGTGTTTGATGCGTCAGCTTCATGTGTTCATGTGGAACAACGTGTCTTTAACATGTTTCATGAAGCTGAAATAAGGACACAATGGAATATTGATGGAATACATTGTTCAAGGCATACAAACACATGTGTCTTAAACAAGGGATCCTTGACCATAAAGAGCATGCATTTCGATGTATTTCGTCTGTTCTCAGCACTCTTTAGCCGTTTCCATGCACCCTTCAGCCATGGTGCCGGGTGTCTCGTAGAGCATTTGCCGGTAGATGCGCCTGCCCCATCGTGTTACATGAGATTGGAATAAGTACAGCATGCATGGCGCAGGGCAAATGGGGTGGTTTGCCATGGTGTACCTACATCTGCTAAACATTCATTGAGATGTCAAAAAAAAGAACTTGGGTGATACCAAGACCCAGGGAGGCCGCCAGCTCCTCAGCCAAATGGCTTCGCTTAATGGAGCGTTGCGTTCTGGGACTGCTCAATGAATAGACTGTTCTATTAGAGACAAGAACAGAATAGAACAGAACCTGCGGCACTCACTCCACCCAAAAAATGTCTTCGATCAGATCATCTCTTTCAACGTAGGTAGCACTCTTCACATACTCTTTCCCCTGCCCACCCCTCAGCTGCCTCAGCCTTCCTGTCCTTCCGGTCGCCCCCGCGGCCTGTGTTCCTCGGTGTTCTCCACCCCGACCTTCTCGAAGCGGTCGCCGATGGTGCCGGGGCCCTGGCCGGGTTTGACCGAGAAGGTGTGTCATTAGTTGGTAACCAAATTAACTGTACACTATTATAAATATAGTTTTTATATATATGCCTTTTTTTACATGCGTTAATAATATATTATATAGAGGGTACGTTGTCTAGAATTTGTCATTCTACGAAAAGATTTGGCACTGAGTTGATTAGAAGACATCGGGGAGATATATGTATATATATACAGTATATATATATTAATACACCGGATCAATGATGCCCGTTCGTTTGTTCAGAAGCAAGAGGTAGACCATGCGGCAGCAATGACAATGACCCATGACGCAAGTCAGGGAAAATTGGATACTTTAACTTCGAAGCTGAAAACTCAAAACTGTGTACTAACATAACCTCAAAATGTTCTACCTGCCAGGTCAGTAAAAGTAAGCTGACAGGTGTACTAACATGGAAGATTGCCAAATTAGGCCATCTACAAGAATCATGCGAACGTTGAAGTCAAGCAATCATTTCAACTAGCCTGCACACATGCAGCTCATGCAACAGCAATTCCTTCCTTCAACCAACGGGCAACACGTGCACGGGGTGCTGCTCCTACAGTTGTTCACTAACATAGCACTCGAAAATATTGATCCGGATGCTCACGAACTTTAACATTCACGACTAAAAAATGTTGATGCTCAGCTGCTTATACCAAATAGCGGAGAGTAATACAATAATGTTGGGTGCCCATTCTGCCCCGGGCAGCGCAGAAACCAAGCAACAAAAAGAGAAGAAGAGAAGATAAAGGCAACGAGATAGGCAAGGAAAATGCAAAATGATGCAAGTACAAAGCCCAGTGCCCTGCCCACACAGGATGAGCAAGATGAGCTCATGGGTGCTTCTATTCAATCTACTAGCAATGGCCTCCAACCTATAGTTTCATTTGATAAAGATTGTACCGGATTTTGAGTGGCACTTCGTTCGAAGATCCCTCAGCTTGGATGGCCCTTCACCCGTATGCCCCATGTTGCTCCTCATCGGTGGCGGTAATGCCCTTGCCCGGGGTCGCAATCTTCTCACAAATGGCCTCGCCGAGCTCGATAGGTCGAGGACGGAAAGAAAAAAGATGGGGAAACGCTCGTGTAAGCTTTGGGATGGCATATTCAAAGATCGAAATAAGTGATGCATGAACCCAGGCACATGTATTTTTTACTTCGCAACTTTTGACCACAAACAACTGCTCCAGTCTCCTACACTGTAGAGGAGATTCAAAAAAGAATGTTTGGCGTTCAAAGGGGTGGCCCTCAAAGTTACCCACAGTTTTGCGGCACTGTGGCGCCACTTCAAAAACTGTCATCTGAGTCATCAGCGCTGAGAAGCTTCCACCACATCCTTGAAGGTGTAGAAGCCCTTCGCAGCGGCAACTGCATCAAGAGGATTCACCGAGGAGAACATGTTGTTGGGGACAGTTCCATCTACCACTGCGGCCATCGAGTTGTACACATCCATCACCGTGGCCTTTGGCACCGATGCAACAATGCGTCCGATAGCTGCGTTCACTGCCTCGTAGTCTGCAGCAGAGGTCACTCCCTTGGCATCGATGCTGCCAATGGCCTTGTGGTGCGCCTCCGCAGCAGCCTTCAACAAGTTTCCGTCCATCTGGCTGCCCATCACGATCATCTTGTCGATGGCTTTCATCACCTTTGGGGCTGTGGTGTCTGGCAGCGGCTTCAGGTAGATGTCAGACAGCCAGTCCACCTCTTTCAAGAAGGGATAGGATGCATCTGAAAGGGCCTTTGCAGCCACACCAATGTTGTCTCCAGTGGGCACAGTGGCCGGAGCACCAACTGCGGTCACTTGGTTCTTTTCCACCACGTCTTTGAACTCCAGAAAGCCCTTGTATGCCTTCTCGGCATCCGCACCATTCACCAAAGACTTCATGTATGCTGGAACGCCAGGGTCAGTGATGTCCTTCACGGCATTGTAGACGTCCATGACCTTTGCCTTGGGGACAGACGCCACAACACGGCCCAAAGCCGCGTTCACCGCATCCCAATCCGCCCGGGAAGTCACACCGTTGGGACCTGAGATGCTTCCGATGGCCTTGTGATGGGCCTCCGCCGCTGCCTTCAAGAGCTTGGGGTCTGCTGCCGCTCCCATCTCAATCATCTTGTCAATTGCCTTGAGAGCCTCAAGTGGTTGGAACTTGCCCGGAGCTTGCAAAAAGATGCCGTTGTTCCAGTCCACTTCCTTCGCGAAGTCATAGGAAGCATCACCGAGCTTCTTGGCTGCATCACCAATCTCATCGGCAAAGGCGGCTGGAGCCATCATCATGCTGGCTGCGGATGCAGCTGCCACAGGCGCATGTTTTCTCAAGGGCCCAGGCACAAAACTCAAGCTGTTGCAAAAGTTGTACAAAGCGACCAGCACAGCAGCCACGCTCAAGACCTTCCACGAAGAACGTGCCATGATTCCACGGGAAGTGCGGGGTACTTTGCTGCGTGCAACAGCGAGTGGAGCCTAAAAACTACTTGAACCCTAACATTAATAACATTCAATATGAGAAAGTTTGCTTTCGCTCACCTTCACTCACAACGCATACAAGTGTAAGACTATCCCAAAAATGGTCGGTCAAGTGAGTCATTGGCCGTTCTTGCCGGTCTCGTGAATCGTCTTGTGAATCGTCTCCACCTCCAGCTCTCTCTTTCGCTCGGGCGACAAATGCCTCGGGCGACAAATGCTCGCGACGCGGTGGGTTTCGTGGTGTTGAAGAGGAAACTGTCGACGGATCAGATCCTCTGGTCTGGTGTTTTTCCCCGTCTTCCAAAAGTCGATTTGGCCGGAAAAAAATAGAAAAAAAAAAAGTTGCATAAAAGAGAGACTGTCTATAGCTCTATCATGCTCTATCTATTTGAGTGAAGAACTCACCGACGTGCAATTAAGAAGGATTTAACTTTAAACTTATACAAGTACGAGTTCACTCGTACCGTTTGTGGAGGAATCGTTCTGGTACCGTTCCTGGTCCAATGAGAGTGGGTGGGCTTATCTCACAAATACCACCGCAAACGAACATGCACTCTGCAAATCGACCTGCAATAAACCGACCATACCCACCGCATACCCACCACCTCGTGGTTTGGGGGTTCCGGTCCGAATTGCAGGGAGATGCGATACCGTGTCCAAAACATATGTTGGACCCTTTGCCACAAGGTGCAGGGAACCCTCGTGTCAGTGACGGACCCAGGTCACAACCTCACAACCCAAACGACCGAAAGCTGCTCAGACTCAGCCGGGTTTCTCCCACTGCTTTCCCCCCCGGGACACGTTTTGAAAGGGGACACCTGCCAGAAAACGGCAGACGGTTCGGCGACAGTCCCACGGCGCTCATCGATTGATTCGTTGGGTCCTGCTTGGAATTCCTGCTGACAAGCAAAGACTTCTACGGATTTGTGATGCGTGGGGTGATAGATCCAGCGAACCATTCTCCTAGTTAGCCAAGCTACTCTCCACCATGGCAGTTGCGATGGCACATATGTCGGACCACCTTCTCTGCACGTCTCCGTGCAGCACGTGGGTGGTTTGGCCGGCCAGCACCTTGCACAATCATGCAGATGTCGCCGATGTCCGCATTCAAAAAACGTTTCAAAATGACTGGAGAAAGTAGTCAGCTTCAGTAGTCGGCGCCCATTCCAGTGCCTCTGGCAGAGCACAATGCCAGCAGCACTCCAGCAGTCAGGGACGCAGTACCTACGCACGTTTGGGTTCAGTATGCTTGGTGGTTTGGGGTGCCAAACCACAGCAATTTGTGTACAACTGTGCAGCAGGGGGTGAACCACACGATGGATGTATTACATAAATGAGGATAATCCCAACCGACAAGACCCTTCCAACACTCCCGAACACTCCGCCATTCCGGTAGAATGGACCAAATGAGTTCACAGTGCTCGCACTTGCGCGGGCTTGGGCGTGGTCACATTGCTGCTTCATTTGGAGATAGGCACATATATCTGGCCCGTACAATTCCAGCGGCCTGTTAGGTTAGGTTGTTCCCACAATCGGACAAATGTTCGGACAGTTCCCCCATGAACTCTCAGTTGGCTATAGACAAGTTTCAACTGGTACAGTGTTTGTCCTTGACTGTCTTTAGTTGCTACAAGTTTACAAACATCAACTGGTATCAAAGGGTATTAGTAATTAGTATGTATATATATATATGCAAATTTGGCAGTATTGCTTTTTCCTTGAGGTGGATCCCTTTCTGTTTGTTGATATCGAGTCGGTCTCCGCAATTTTTTGGCACCAGATCCGAGAGCTGGCCTCGTTCTTGTGTGAATTTTCTCGCAATTTGCACTCGCTCCAACAATCATTATCGAACAAATTCCAATTTGTAGAGGAACTTTGAGAGGAAACCGTTTCTTGTATTGAGGAAATTATCACATGTTGAAAGGGTTTTCCGACATTGCCGAGGAATTCGGTCTTCAATGATCCTCCATGCATCAGCACTGTGACATGGCCGAAGGCCAGACGGGAACCCAACCTGCACACGGCCAACACGGTGAAGGGACGAATGGCGAGGGCAGGAGTGCCTTCTCACCATCCACTCACTCCGGGTCGAAATAGAATTATCCCGGCAAGAGACCCCAAACAGTGTTTTGAGGTCTATAGTAGAGATCTAGAGTTCTGGAGATCTAGGAAGATCTAAAGGCCAAGATCGAGGTCTAAAGATCTAGATGTCTAGAAAATCTAAACGCCTAGACATCCAGACAGATCTAGACATCTGCAGGTCTAGCGGAGACAGAGATATGAAGCCCAGGTTTCTACATCCAGAGTAGATCTTGAGATCCAGACAAATCTAGAGTTCAAGATGTGATCTAGAGGTCTAGAGATCCAGAGGTATAGGGGTCTTGATCCAGAGATCTGGAGGTCTACCCTGTTGTAGGGGTGGGCCCTCTAGGTCTCTCGTCTGGCCATGAAAACCTGCAGGTCTCAAGGTCCAGAGGTTGAGAGGCGTAGGGGTCTTTGAGAGGCGTAGGGACCTCTGGAAGTTCAAAAAGCTCTATAGGCCTAGAGATCTAGAAGTCGAGATGTCTGGGGGGTCTAGAGCGGTCTAGAGGTCCTGGAGCTCTAGGTCTGGGGATGTCCGGGGTCTCAAGCTCTAAGAGTTTGAGAAGTCTAGGAGTCTTGAGATCCAGGCAGGTCGTGAGATCCAGGCAGGTCGTGAAGTCTAGAGATCTAAGGTCTAGTTGAAAGGTCTAGATTGAGCCTAGAGATTCATCTGTAGAGGTCTCGAGAACTGATCCAGAGGTCGTGCGCTTAAAATTTGGATGTGTGGAGACCAAGAGTTGTAGAGGTGTAGAGGCCCAGAGATCCAGACACCTCTAATTTTGTAGGTCTAGTGCTAGCGATGGATCCAATAACTTTAAGCAGGGGACTAATTACAGAAAACCTACAGGCCTCAAGGTCTGGAGGCCTAGAGCTTAAGAGTTCTAGAGGCCTTGAGATTAAAAACTGGAGGTCTAAAGATCTAGCGCTAGAGATCTAGAGGTTGAGGTCGAGAGGTTCGAGAGGTCGTCCAGAGTTAGAAGGTCTTGAAAGACATGGTCTTGAGCAGACCCAAAAGATCTAGAGCGCTAGAGATCTAGAGGTCTCAAGTTCTCAAAATTGAGCAGCAGCAGCGCGGCCTCTTCGAGGTTGACTCTTGGAGATGGCATGAGATGGCGGAGATGGATGTTGAGAAACGCCATTGTGACCAATGCAAAGACAGCCATGCTTTTTGGGGGGATCCGACCGATTTTTGAGGGGCGCGGCATACTCACCACTCACCTGGCTGACAATACATGTCCGGCGCCTTTAACTGGTCACCGTGTGGTTTCTTAAAGCGTTTGTTCGGACAAGACAACCTGCGCTCGGTCGCCTGGCTCCTGCGCTCGATGTCCGGCGTGCTCCAGGACAGGCTCACGACACTTGACAGGCTCTCGTGAGATCGGTGCAAGAGATCGGGGCGGCTTGGTGTCGAGGTACAGGTTTCGTGGCAGGCGCAGTACTTTGGACATGGTGGTATAACTTTGAAGTGCAGATTTCGTGGCAGGCACAGAACTTTGTGGACCTTGAAGTGCAGATTTGGTAGCAGGCGCAGTACTTT